CTAAGTTAAGTTTTCTTAATTCATGGATGACGTAGCAAGTAACAATGCTTCAGGCGCTATAACCGCGGGTTCCTTTACACTCGCGACACTGCAGGAAGCCGCCAAGGCACAAAAAGAATGGGCCAAATATGTTGCTTTTGATGGGGAGGGGCGAATTTTGTTTGGCAACGTGAAACCACTCGATGGCGAGATCACGTAAGTTGCAAGGCTATAAAAACTTCTTACTAGTATCAAGTGACGAGCTTATCATGTTGTTTCTACAGTGGCTTCTTAAAACTCTTCAACAAGCGCGAGGATACGATAGCATCGGGTGTAGTATTGCTAGGCGAGCAGTACGACGTTCATCGGTAGGACTTGGATACTACTTCTACCTCTTTTCAAGCTTATTTAATGCTGTTTAATGAGCTGTAGATTTCATCCTCCGCTTATTTACGGCCGTCGTGGAGATCCATCGCTAGAAGAAGGCGAAGGCATTGCGATATGTAAAATAGTGCAAGGGAATCGCACGCTCTTCTGTCTTATCACTTACGTGTATCCAACGTTGTCAGCGCGTGCAGTACCGCAATTAAAAGAATTTTGCGAAGCTCAGTGTAAGTAGCCTCAATAGTGTAATAAAAAGTGGCGACAGATCTAATAAAATTAATTATGATGCTGGTGTAGTGGCTATGCTTGGGTGAAGAGTGAAGTGCCGACATTAAAATGGGCTACAACTTGCCTGATACCAGTGAAGAATACTTTTACGAGTATTGGGAGAGTGTAAATTTGAGTGATAATAAAGTATGCATGTGATTTTTTTTCAGACTATTGATACTATGCTAGAACAAGTACCGCAGCAGATTGAGCGTTGACTTTGTTTTTTTATCAGTTTATAGGATCCTGATAGGTCTTCGTCCTCCTCAAAAGTCCAGTCATCTTCTCAACACGAAGATCATCTTGGATCTGGTCGATATCGCGCGCGCGATTTTTTGTGGCATGACCACGCTTGTACTGCTTTTTCTTCGCGTGAGCGCGCGCCCTGCCTGCTCCGGGCCTACCAATGCCCATGATCAAATGCTTAAGTTAATTGTTATAGAATAAAAGACCGGGCATCTTTCTGTGACAACGTTCGTAAGCTAGTAGCGCTCTTTATTGCTGGATTCTGCTAAGCGTTGATTAATAAACTTTGAGAGTTAATCACAGTAATCTGACGGATATTACCAACAAAGTAACAAAGTTAAATTAGTAGTTCTAAAATACTACGACCCAGGCCGCTACATGGAGAGCATTAAGACATTTGAGGGTAAGAATGGAGAAAATTTCCTGCTCTGGGTAAGAAAGGTCGAGACGGCTATGGCATCCGCCATGCTCTAGAACGAGCAACAGCGCGTGGCGCTAGCTATCTCCAAGCTCGGGGGTCGACCGACATGCTGCAATTCGGTTGAAGCGTCGTCTTTTCTCCTGGATGGAGCTGAAGCTGCAGCTTTCACGAGTGTTCTCGACACCTGACTAGGCGTATCGCGTGCGATCGCGTTTCCTTGCCCCCGACAGGGCAAGAAGGAATTGGTGAACTTTGTCAGGGAATCGCATACTCTCCTTGCCGGTATGACAGCCGATCCTCTCCCGAGGTGATCACAAGGACCATCTTGATGGAGGGCCTCCGAACTAACGTGGCCAGAATAAAAATCTTCCGTGTGCATCCGTCTTATTTTGAAGAAGCAGTGAATGTGGCATTGAATGTCATATATAATTTTATGCCTGCACTACTTGGTTGGAATGAAGGTGTTAGTAGCTCGTCGAGCGGGCCTGAGCCGATGATATTCAGCCCTGCTGAGAAAGAGGAGACAGGACTCCAAAATGCCGTCAGCAATCGAACATACGACGGTGTTTTGTCTATGGACACACCCTTCACCTACGTACTGGATGCCACTTGCCCAAGGCGCGTCAAGGCTCATTGAACCGTCGTCGCGCTTATCACCAATTCTCTGGTTTGTCGCGGTAAAGCGACCATACCCAGTAGGCGCGAAGTGCCTTACTGGGGAAGAAGTGATCTGTGTTGAGCTTCAAAGAGGTAGATGGCAGCAGGTCCCAGCTCCGAAGAGCTCCGTGCTCGTGAACACGGAACACGTATGCAAGCCGGGCTTGATGGTCGTGAAAGTGGCCGTGAAAGGCTTTGAAGAGCCATGGGAGATCCTTATCGACTTTGAAGCTTTGGGCACTTATGCTCGACATTTACGATGGAAGGAAGGCCACCGTATGCTGAGGCTGTGAAAGCGCAGCTGAGTGACATCGTCAATGTTCGCTTAGCAACGGGGACATGTGTCACGGTGCTGAGGGTCCTGTGGACCTCGGTGTCAAGTTTCTTGACTTTTATAGCGTGAAACGCTGCTTAGTCTTTGACTTGAATTCAAGGCATGACCGAATCGTGGTCGAAACACCATAAGCCATGGATCGATTGGAGGCCGAAGATCTTGGGTGCTACGCGCACGTCTCCTGGCGGAGCTTTGCTGAGTAATGAGAAGGAAGCAGAAACGCTATTGGCGTGGACTCTAGACTGGAAACCTTTAATGTCATGGATATCGGAGTATCCGAGTTGTTGAATACCGAAGGTGTATCAGACATGATGATAATGGTCTCTCTCAGTTTGGCGGACTGCTACTAAAGTTTGTGGCAGGTTTGATGCCTCGTATTCTCACTATCGAAAAGCCTTACATTTTTACATCTCTACAATTTAGCTATTTTCATACCCATCCAACGTCAAATGATTTCAGAAATAAGTCTTCCATATATGAACTCGTACCAATACAAAATGATGAAATTTGATATCATACCAAACCAGTTTTAATGACTGAGATCACCATCATCATCTTCTTCAAATTGAATATCTGTATTAATCAATACAAAGTCCAATAGCCAACATGTCGTCCCATTTGTTGCGCTCGTCTTAGTAGCTGAAGTATTAGCCATCACATAGTCGAATGAAACTCGTGACTCGAAAATCCAAGCTCGTTTATTTCTGATTGTAACGGGGTTACACGTACCCTTGTATGAAAGGTTGGATCACACTAGATGGTGTGGCCACACCCTAACTAAGAGTCCGTATGTGGCTGGACTGCCAGTAGTTATGCATTTCAATAATGTTTTACTATTTAAGTAGGAAAATACAGCGGGGCTGCCGTAGCTCGTTGTTTAGAGGATGCTAAGCAAAGGTCACCGACCTTACGCTCTTTACAAGAAGCAGTACGAGTGTAGCGGATCGCAATTTGCTACATCCAAGAGTATATAATACCTTAACAAGGTAAAGACGCTCTTCCGTTCAAAAGTGAGGCTGTATTATTTTTTTTTACTTGCAACAGAGCCGCCGATATCTAAAACCTTAGGCTTTCGTAATTAATATAGTAATACCTAATTAATATAGTAATATACATTACTATTGGTATTCCTGCCATGTGGTAGATTCTTGTTACGGTGTAGCCACGCCACTGTGATTATGCCAACTTATGTAACCCGCACCCATGTACGGTCACACCATCTGGTATGACATGCGTATTCTACAAAAGTACGTTTAATCCCGTGACACTCACCCCCATCAAAATTGTGAAGACCCCCAATTCACATTTAACTGTCGCCTCGTACGACGCTCGCGCGTCTGAGACACAGTTATGTTCTGAAGAAAATCATATTCTCCGCTCAATGAGCACTGTGTCTACGAACGAAAAGCACTCAACTTTGCTGGTTTTGAGGGTGCCCGCGGGCAAAGCCTTAATTCTTCTGCACGAGATGCATCTACGGAAACCGAGCGCCACAAACCGCGCCCGCAGGGGCGACGGGTTTTTTCGTCGAGTATTCGGTGGATGTCGACTACTAGACGAATGCTGCTTTCCCAGCATTGAGGGTGAGGAGCGCCAACGACGCGACGTGAACTCAGCCCAAACCTTGCAAACGCCGTGTCCGTTCCCAGACCTCTCGACTACCGGGGTAATCGGTATTGCTACCAATCGCCACGACAAGGCACAGCAGCACGAGTTGGACATTAAAGGGCGGATCTCATGCAATCGTATCCACGTTCGGTCCTAGACCGTCGTGTAGAGTACGGCTTCTGCTCGATGGATCCCGCTACTGAAGCAAAAGACGCGATCACTCGATCGTTAGGCGTCTACGTAGTCGGACCCCAGGCCGCTACACAAGCTGAGCTTGACCAACGAAAAGAAATCTGGGCTCGCTTCTTGGTACCGCAAATATCCCAATGGATAGGTACCGTGCTCGACTTCGAGCTCAAAGTGGAGGCTCTCCTGTTTTCGCGATGCAGAAACTTCTGCAGATGATAAGGAGCACTCTGAGCGCTGGACGCAGCGGCACCGGAAACTTTCTATATTGTCTACCTTACAGCAAAGCCACAAGGAAGTAGACGTGCGCGTAGAGCGCCATCTTCGATTTGAGTTCGCCAAACTCATGGCGCAACACCGTCTTTCTGCGTAAGTTCGCTCTGCGACACCTGGAGTCATGTATCACGCTCCCACGAGCTCTATAGTCTATGACCACAGCAGCTCAGGATCATAGCTTGATCTCAGCTCATGGCCTTCCGGCTTCCTAGGCTACCGCCGAGAAGCTCGGGGCGCACGGCGACGCGAAATGTCACGATCCTACTGGTCGTTAGCGTTCACGACGTCTGGACAGTCTTGCCGAAACGGCACCTAATCTCCCACGAGTTCTCGAAGATTGGGTTTCCCCATCCCTTCGCAAACTTTTGGCTTAGACCC